CAAGAACATGATCCAACCTGACCCAAGAACATGATCCAACCTGACCCAAAAACATGATCCAACCTGACCCAAGATCATGATCTAACTTGACTCAACAACATGATCCAACCTGACCCAAGAACATGATCCAACCTGACCCAAGATCATGATCCAACCTGACCCATGAATATGATCCAACTTGACCCAAGAACATGATCCAACCTGACCCAAGAACATGATTCAACATGATCCAACCTGACCCAAGAACATGATCCAACCTGACCCAAGATCATGATCCAACCTGACCCATGAATATGATCCAACCTGACCCAAGATCATGATCCAACCTGACCCAAGAACATGATCCAACCTGACCCAAGAACATGATCCAACCTGACCCAAGAACATGATCCAACTTGACCCATGAATATGATCCAACTTGACCCAAGAACATGATCCAACCTGTCCCAAAAACATGATCCAACTTGACCCAAGATCATGATCCAACCTGATCCAAGATCATGATCCAACCTGATCCAAGATCATGATCCAACTTGACCCAAGATCATGATCCAACCTGACCCAAGAACATGATCCAACCTGACCCAAGATCATGATCCAACTTGACCCAAGAACATGATCCAACTTGACCCAAGAACATGATCCAACTTGACCCAAGATCAAGATCCAACCTGACCCAAGATCATGATCCAACCTGACCCAAAAACATGATCCAACCTGACCCAAGATCATGATCCAACCTGACCCAAGAACATGATCCAACTTGACCAAAGATCATGATTCAACCTGACCCAAGAACATGATCCAACCTGATCCAAGATCATGATCCAACCTGATCCAAGATCATGATCCAACCTGACCCAAGATCATGATCTAACCTGACCCAAGAATATGATCCAACCTGACCCAACAACATGATCCAACCTGACCCTCTACTACAGGAAGAAGAATAATAACCAGGTGTCTGATACAACTGTTTTTTCACACCTTCCATTTCTTACTCTCCTGTCCCCTGGACGATGTGTCTCTCCTGTCCCCTGGACAATGTGTCTCTCCTGTACCTGGACGATGTGTCTCTCCTGTCCCCTGGACGATGTGTCTCTCCTGTCCCCTGGACGATGTGTCTCTCCTGTCCC